TTCATCCCCGTATTTTCTTTTTGTAGGCAACAGTAAAAAGAAATCTGCAAACAAGCCGAAGGGTGCTGCTTCAGTAGATGCCATGCTATTGTTGGAAGAAGATGGGTAGATTGCACATTTAAAAACTTGTTGAGCATTTTGTAAGAATTCCGTTTGATAATCTTGCCTTAGTCAAAGATTGCCTAGCATTTGTTGTGCTTTTCAGCCAAACAATTCTTATTGTACTTTGTTTGAAGTTCAATTGGTATGTATCTACATCAGCTCCAAACTCTGAGGGAATGTATCTGTATGAAATTCTGTATGAAATTCTGGAGGTATGTTGGTGATTATGATTGCCTAGTATTTGTCGTGCTTTGTGGGTTGAATGTGTTGAATGTGTTGCTGCATTGCAGTGAATTGTTGGGGATTATGATTGCTTCCGCGGTTTTGAACGAATTAGATTGATGTAACAGAAGCAAATTACATTTTCTTTGCCCCTTGGTGCAAGCTCCCCCCGAGCAAACTCCAGAGCTTCTTCTATTTTTCCATGACAGATCAGTTCTATTAATCTCTGCTGTTCTATTTTTTCATGACAGATCAGTTCTATGTTTCCTGCCACCAATATCAGTCATCATTATAGCAATATGAAAATACTGACTGCATTGGCAACAAACTCTCCAATGCAGCAACACATTCAACTTAACAACACCAAATCCCACAAATACAAATAAATCAAAAGCCTAAGCCCGCACATAAGATGCACAAACTCACAAACTCTAGAAATATTAAGTACAAACCAAGCATAGAATAATTCAGTTCTAGAAATCAAACAAAAGGTTAAAATTGAGTAGAACTGCGCACAAATCATGATACAAACTGACCACAAAAACGCTCAAATTTGTGTACAAACTAAGTACAAAATGACCAAAGTTGTGCAAGCTGATCCTCACATTGAAGAATCATACACGAATCACATCACATGTTTCCCCTAATAGAGAAACCAACAAATATTGCAACGATACATACTAGAAATATTAAACTTGTAAACACTGAACCTAATACAAAAGCATAGATGTACTTAATAGCAGTTTTCCCAGGTTTTCCCTTGTCCTCAAGAAGATTATGCCCCTCTAGAAACATTTGTTCTTGAACACAAACATGTGGCTGCACATGCCTTGAGCTGGATGCTGAATCACGCGCGCTTAAGTGCTTCTCCCATTCGACAAACATGTGGCTGCACATGCCTTGAGCTGGATGCTGAATCACGCGCGCTTAAGTGCTTCTCCCATTCGCTCAAAGCCTCTTCATACGTTGCATATCCTTTGCAGGAGGCATTTGGGAATCTATCAACTTGAGATTTGCATCCCTCCCAATTTTCAAAAATACCACAACGTCGACCTCTCTTTACAACATAAAAACTCTTTCTTGCCATTATATCACCTGGAAATTTGTGCCTTGAAAAAATATTATCAATGGAAAAAAGACAAGTGAATATCAACTAGTTACGACTATATAGTGGAAATTTCATGATAAAATCATGTTAACTCATACTTCTTTTTTCCTTCTTTACTCATTCTCAGTCTGATATCAAACATTGTTAGTAATTTTTCTAGTACTCATTTTCAGTGTAGTATTAGACATTAATAGTAAATGAATTGCTTAAGACAATATGCCCTTGCTAACTTGCTCATCTACCTAATTACTTCTTTTTTAACACTTGGACAATATAATTCCACCATGAAAATTCTTTTTTTTTCCTGTTCTTATTTATTTATTTATGTTTTTGAAGACAATGTATCTCACAACTTGGGGAACCTCCATATTACAAGTCAAATATATATATTTTTTTAAATCACAGACAAATATCTTATTATAACATATATGGCCCTAAAAAATTTTGATGAGGTTATATGAGTTGCAAACAATAATGCTGCTGAGTTGAGCCATTATCTCAAGAGAACTACCATATTATAACATGCACGATGAACAATAATGCTGCTGAGTTGAGCCATTATCTCAAGAGAACTACCATATTATAACATGCACGATGAAATTAGATGAGTTCAACCTAAAAAATTAATAGGTTCAATTTCATGAGGTTAAAATCACAAATTCAGGAGACCTTTAGCTATAGAAAAATTACCTGAAAATGTGATACCTTGATGAGTGATGCAACCAAAAGGGTAGTCCATCAAGTGTAGGAGGTGAATATTTAAGAGAATAAAAAAGAAAGAAAAATTTTGTAAACGAACTGAGAGAGAAGCTCACGTACGGTGGCGAAGGGGACTGGAGTTCCGATAGGAGGATCTCGTGGCGGAGGTTCTCGTTGAGGAGGATCTGAGAGAGAAGCTCACGCTCGTGGAGGAGGATCTCGTGGCGGAGCACTGGAGTTCCGATAGGAGGATCTCGTGGCGGCGTGTGAGAGATCGAGCGAGGGAGTAGGGATTCGTCGCGGGGGACTGGATCGCGTGGAGGAGGAGGTCGTGGCGGGTGGCGGCGCACTGGTTCTCGTGGCGGGGGAAAAAACCGACGAGCAATTGCGGAGCTTGGACAAATTGGGGAGATCGAACGAATTTTTGAGAGAGAACTGAGGGATTCTCCAAATTTGGGGAGAGAGAACTGAGTTTTTGAGATTGAATGGGGAGGAAGAGGGATTCTCCAAATTTGGGGATCTGAGAGTTACGAAGGGAGAGAGAGAGAGAGCGTCCTTTTTTGAGAATCGCGGTGTGGTATTTTTCAGAAAAACCCAGGCAGCGCTCCGCATTGTGCACTGGGCAGTGCTTCTACAGTTTTCTCTCTCTCTCTCTCTCTCTCTCTCTCTATATATATATATATATATATATATATATATATATATATATATATATATATATATATATATATATATAATATATATATATATATATATGAGATTAATGGGTATCCTTGTCATAGAGGGGATTTCCTCCTTGACGCCTCTAAAATGCACATGATTGAGTGAATATTATGGATGATCCGCTCGTTGAAACTTGATCTACATATTCTAAAACCCCAACACAGCCAAGTTTGGGGTGAACCCGTCGTCGTTTGACCTTTCATCCCATGCGTATCAATTTTAACGGATTTTTTGTTTTTTTATTTTTTTTTTTTTTTTTTTTTATTTTTTTTTTTTTTTTTTTTTTTTTTTTTTTTTTTTTTTTTTTTTGTTTTTTTTTGTTTTTTTTTTTTTTTTTTTTTTTTTTTTTTTTTTTTTTTTTTTTTTTTTTTTTTTTTTTGTTTTTTTTTTTTTTTTTTTTTTTTTTTTTTTTTTTTTTTTTTTTTTTTTTTTTTTTTTTTTTTTTTTTTTTTTTTTTTTTTTTTTTTTTTTTTTTTATTTTTTTTTTTTTTTTGAATGAATAGAACTTTTCGAACATGGCTTGAGTGGAGGGTGCAAAGGCAGACGAGACGGATTCACGCAGCAAACTTGGTGTGTTTGGGTTTTAGAATATGTAATCAAGTCAACGAGCGGATCATCATAATGTCGTTCATCATGTGATTTTTAGAGGGCGTCAAGGAGGAATCCCTCATGCCTATGACAAGGATACCGCAATTAATCTCTCTGCTCTGCTCATCTCATCTCTATATATATATATATATATATATATATATATATATATATATATATATATATATATATATATAATCGATCTCAAATCGATTACAAACAGATCCATTCATCCCAGAATGATCACCAACCATAAAAGAACTCATTTATCATTATTTATAAAAATATTTTCAAAATTTCAGAGTTTTACAGATTAAGAGAAAAACACATCATTAATAATACATTTATTTAATTAAAATTGATAATATGGGCATAAAAGTATAATAAAATGTGATGATCAAGTGGCTAAGGGTCACCCCTTAGCGCACAACCTTGAATATTCCAAGAAATTAAATTCTTGTGGGTGCTCTCAAGAGAGTTGAAGTTGAGACCCTGAAGTGCTGCTCATTGGCATCTTATCAACTCTGCTAGACCCTCTTGAATAATGATATTAATTATCTAAATAGTATAAAATAATTTAATTATGATCAGACCCACTAAGATAAGTCAATAATATTAGCACATGCATATAACGACTAATTGTAAATATTCTCAGGATCCGTGTAAGAAGCAAGCCCAATGCATGCGAGGAGATCCGGAGCATATCCCTTCACAAGGCATGTCTCTTGTTGTATCTTTGTCTAAACTTACCATGTAATTAAATGCCATAGATCAATAGAAAAATGCTAAGTGCATTACTTATTTTACTACTTTGGCACAACTGCTCACAAAGGAGTCGGGGCCTTACTTTAAAATTATATTGATGGCTCATCATGGCCCCACTCTTGTGTGAATGGTAATGCCAAACTAGTAGAGAAAGTATAGTACACTTATCACTACTCATATCAATAGCGATTGCTCATGGTGGCTCAAAGGCATTCATCTCCTGCGCGTCATTCATACTAAAAATTTATACTCTTGCTACTAGAAATGAGTTTCCACCTCATATTCTATCTTTTTAATACACATATATGTGGACTACAACTATTTATGACTCAGTATATAGCTTCTGAGAATTGTTTTATTCTGGCTGTCAGCTTTCCAAGGCCTAACCTCATGACTATATTAATTCAATAATCCAGTAACATTAATTCCCCTCTCTTCTAGAGTAGGTATTATTCTAGCTAGATCTCTTCCTTTCTAAACGTCAATAACCACCAACTAGCTAGATACGCACACTCTCTAAGTAAATAAAAAGCTAGATCTCTTCCTCTCTAAATGTCAATAACCACCAACTAGTTACATGCGCGCACTCTCTAAAGTTAATAAAAATCTACACCTGGCTCTTCTCAATATTATTAGCATCCCTCGAACGTTCCCATTTGCTTGGTGACACTATTCATGACTGCGACCAATCACTCATCCAAATTCACAGAACGCGACTTCTTAGCCTTATGTGCTCACCCTCTTAAATGCCGAGGCCTAGGCGAAGTTTCAACGTTCACAAATCGCCACGTAAACATGGATTTGCTTATAAATATGTAATCCAATTCAAGTATCAGCAAGGAGAAAGACATGGCTTCCAAGTCTTTGCTTGTTTTAGGTGTTCTCCTCGCTAGCGTTCTCCTCATCTCCTTTGAGGTGGCTGCTCGAGAGCTCGCCGAGCAAAATGGTTCAATTCATTCAATTAATACTCTGATATTATGTTAAGATTGAGGAATCTTTGCATACTTAGATTTTTTTTATTAATATACGTGCATGAGATTTTTATTTTTTTTTACCTCGTTCTTTAATTAGCAATTATAACGGATCTACAATCTTTCTTTTTCACGTTAATCTAATCTATCTAACTTAAACGTAATTTTGTTCTTTATTCATACAAATGGGAAGATTATGGATGGACACAAAGAGATTGGCGCTTATTTTTAATTATTTATTATTTATTATTATTATTTTTGGTGAGAAAAGGACCATGGATGGACAAGGAAATTAATTAAGAGTTATAAAGGATTATTTCTTTAGAATAAGAAATTAAACAAAACAAAATGGATGAGGCCAGTTTCTAAGATCCTTTTAGAAATTAAAAATTGATAAAAATAATTTAGCATGTATTTTTTAAGGAAGAAAGCAATTGCAAAGATTTAGGAACATAGATCGACCAAACTAATCTACTTGGACCAAAATTGGCTCAAAAGAAGTAACTCTTAATTGATTATAAGTTTTTTAAATATATATTTATTTCTAGACTAAACCCATGTACATCTTGAATTATCATGCAAAGTAATTCTATGTTTTTACAATGATGATGTTATTCATCATACAGCAGAGAAGGCAAATGAGTTAGAGGATCAGAAGTACGGTGGAGGATACCAAGGACACTACGGCGGAGGCAGCGGTGGATACCCTGGACACGGTGGAGGCGGAGGTGGTTACGCCTGGGACAAGCGGATGGAGGTGGTGGAGGATACCCTGGACACGGTGGAGGAGGTGGAGGATAACCCTGGGACACGGTGGAGGCGGAGGAGGATACCCTGGACACGGTGGAGGAGGTGGAAGGATCCCTGGACACGGTGGAGGGGCGGAGGATACGCCGGGCATGGCCCGGGCACGGGCAGCTGCATACCCGATGGATGCTGTGGGCATGGATACGCAAGGTGGTTGCCGATGCTGTGCCACTGCCAACGAGGTTCCCGATGCTGAGTACATGGAAGAGCCAAAAAACTAGAAATATTGGCTCAGATCACTAGTAAAATTATGTAGTGTGTATTAATAAGTCGCCGTTGCTAAATCCATTGTGATTACCTACGGTTCTGGAGAATAAATGCTTTGTGCATTGTGTACGAGAGAGTGAGACCACGAGACTGGTTGTAAGTTACTTTTTAAGTATTTATGTCTTTTGGTTATGAGATAAAAATTTATGTGTATCGCGTGCCAACTAATACTAAGGTCTGTCAATCATGATACATGCTAGCATAGTTTATGGAAAATTTCCTTTTTAATTAGCTCTTCTCGAAACCAAAATAAATGGTGCTAAAATGCCCAAAATTGCTAGGAAACTTACTCAAGGATGGAGCTTAATCTCAAATGAGAAAATTTCAGGTAATGACAAAGTCTAGATCATATAGAATTCCAATATCCTAAATGGAATTTCTACTCCTACTGTTTCTCAACCTGTAGAGACCCCAATGACACTACGGATTCATACTCAACCCGTGAGTAAGTCTTCGTCTTCTTCTACTTCTAGGGTTACTAGGGTAGATAGTGTTGATAGTGATGATGGAATTCCTATTAGTCATTCTTTGGTTACTTCTTCTACCACTGTTCTTTTGGATATATCTAGTAGTGAACATTCTTCTGATAATTCTTCTGGGAATGTTACTCAGTCGATTAATGATGATGTGTATATGGCCAAAGATGATGAGAATTTTGATAATTCTCTAAATTTTGATGATGATACTCATATGAGCAAGGATGGCAACCCTAAACAGAGCTTTGCTAGTTCTTTAAATGTCAAATTCAAAGCAATGGAAACATATGTGACAGATGTTTGGGCTGGCATTGCTACACCTGAAGTGTGTTTGGTCAAAGCTGGTGCGTTCTTGTTCAATTTTAAAACTAAGGAGGAGATGAGTAATATCGTAGATGCAGGCCCTTGGTTTTTTGGTTCTCGGCCTTAACTGCTCAATCCTTGGGGTCTAGATGAAGATATAGAGAAAATTCAGGAATGCAGTTATCTAATGTGGGTGCAATTCCCAAAACTGAATTTATTGAATGTCACTGGTCATAGCAAATTTGTTAGTGCCATCAGAAAGTCAATTGCTTCTGACAAGCTTACTGCAACTAGACGAAGGTTATCTTACGTCAGGGTTTTGATTGAGGTCAAACTTTCAACTACTCACTACAACAAATTGCACCAACGCTTATTCCTGACGCATGGTTAAATACGTCGCCAAAAATTATGTTTTTCCCGATGATTTTAGTTAGCGTAGGCAAAACAAATATTTTTCCCAGCGTTTATAATTAGCTTCGCTAAAAGTGTATATTATTTGTGACGTTTTAACTTAGTGTCGTTAAAAGTGTATGGATTTCACGATGTTTTTCATTTTTCGTCGGTAAAAATATATACTTTTAGTGACGTTTTTGGGTTGGTGTCGCTAATAGTGTGCATTTATCGCGACGTGTTAGGTTAACGTCGCTTAAAGTCTCTTTTTCACAACGTTCGTAAAAACCCTAAAAATCTATTCAGATCCCCAATTCTCCTCCTTTGCCTTGTTAGACCCTAGAGGGGGTGTGACTAGGGTCTTGTGCTAATCTAATCCGATTTTATGCCAATTAAAACTCTTTAATAAATTATTCTTGCAAGATAGATATACAATATGTTATCAGCAAGAATATGCAATATGAACAAAGGGAAATATCCTAGCAATGAGATATACTATGAGATATATGCGAGGATATACAAACAACTCAAGGGTAAATAATCTAAACTAGATAGTGGAGAATATAAATAACAAGCAATATACAAAGACGATATAAGATATAAACATAAAGATAAGTGCGCCAATGCAATCACAAACAAATGATATAATGACGGAGTTCGGTCCCCACGACCTACATCTCCGCTCCTCACCTCGAGGAGATCTCCACTATCACAACCAAGTTTTTTACGCTCACCTGAATAACGTTTACACCTCACACTCGGTTTTCTAGTTCACCGAAAATTTTACAATCTCATACTCTTGCAATCCCACTTTACACCCTCTTAAGTGTTGGTCTCTAGTCCGTGTCCTCCTCCTCAAGTGCTCGGATACAACCTCTCCCTAGGTTCGTCAACTGACGCCACTCCTCTTGGATTTGACCCCGTCTCTCACCACATACTTCTCTCGGTGTACAAGTGTATTACAAGTGATACTCACAATATAAGCTCAAATACAATGTTTTGTTCTCTATAATGAATGAGAACACAATGAAGCTCACTCTCACTAATTCACACACCAATACCCACTAATATATTGTATGAAATATTCTAAACTCAATAAGGGTGTGTGTGATAAATGAGAACAATGAAATTCTAACTCAATTTAATATAGAAAGATATGAATATGAAATTGACAATCAATAAGCTATATAAAAGAGTTTAGAAAAACTTCTCTATAAACAAAAAGAACTGAAGAAATGATGATGAGGATGAATTCCTAGATTGAAATTGAAAGCTTCTTCTTTGTGTAAGACATCTCTTTTGAAACAAAACTTGAAACAAGGATTTAAACACCTCTTAAACACTTGTAAACTTAATTAAACAAATCTCTAGTGCTCACAGAATGTTAAATGCACTGGGGTATTTATAACAACCCAAAACATCAGCAAAAACCCATGTAAAAAGGCCAAAAAGCCAGAAGGAGACAAAAACTAAAAGTAGCCGTTACAGTGTTATGAATCGACTTAGTATTGTTCATGAGTCGACTCATAAGTAGCCGTTACAGGCTAAAAACCAACTTATGGGTCGACTTGTAAAAGTTATGAGTCGACTCATAAACCATGGGTCGACTCATAAGATCATGAGTCGACTCATCAGAAACAAAACTCATTTTTCAGCACAGTTTGTGAGTCGACTTGTGATAGGCATGAGTCGACTCAACCTGATTGGTCGACTCATGATATTGTGAGTCAAATCATCAGAAACAAATTATAAACTACACAGCAGTTTATGAGTCGACTCAACACTGTTCATGAGTCGACTCATAAACATGTACTCAGAAAATTTTAACTTTGAACATTGTTAAAAAATATCAAATAAATTCTAAAAAGTTCAAAACTTTTGGAATAGTTTATAAATATGATATTAAACATATTTGTGAGGAAATTTTGGAAATTATATTTGCCATTTGTAAAAGATTATCGTTTTATCAAATGTGCACATATATGTGTAAATATGTAAACATATACATTTGATTTTGATAAAGAGATATATTGCAAAACTTTTGTAAAACATTTTTATAAATAATATACAATGTAAACATGATGTTAAACCAAAGCCACATTATTTTCACGAAACGAAACAATTGTGTGTGTATAAATATATATTGAGCTTAGAAAATAACACACGATATATACAATAATACCTAAGTGATTGTAAACATGGCTAATCTGGATCTTTAACACTGACATAAACCTATAATAAGCCACAGTCACTAGGAAACAAAATTAGTTATAAATTGTTTATAAAATCATCAAAACAAAACAAGAGTGTAGGTTCAAAACCAAAACCCTAACAATCTCCCCCTTTTTGATGATGACAAACAATTCATGAAAGATATATAAATCATGAAATACAAATGTCTTCAATACTCATAAACAACAAGCCAATACCATTTCTCCCCCTTTTGGCAACATCAAAATGGGGAATATTGGAGCAAGGCTCCCCCTACATTTATGCATAGGTTAGAAAAAAAACATGAGTGAGGATATTCAAATGGAATACAACCATAAATTCAAAAAAAAAAAAAATAGATTTACTAGGCTATTACATTCCAAGTTCAACATATGTTTTCAAAACATGTCCAACATGAAGCAAATCAAGTGCAAGTTAAATGTTACATGCCAACGTAAATAAGAGTTTGCCAACACAACATAAACCAAAATGTCATATTGTTTAACACAAATCAAGAAAGAGCTTCAAGCATTCGATGATCCTGGACCCAAAGAAGGATGGGGTTGTTGTAAAAGATTTACAATCTCATCAAGTCTACTATGAATGGAAGCCATGTCAACTTCTCTATCACTCCTCAAGGAGGCTATCTCTCTCCTTAATTCCACCTGGATCTTTTCAACCTCTCCAAGTCTAATGCTAATATCAAGTTCACCGTCTTCAATCCTCTGAAATCTTACTTGGTCACTATAGTAATATTCAGCCATCTGAGTGGAAAGATCTTCTATATGGCTCGGTTCAGATGAATCTGAGGAGGAATGATAATGCTCATGAGGGGGTTCATGTACAGGAGATACAGGAGGGGCCTACGAGCAAGATGATCATTCATTGCCATTAATGTGGTAGGAATTTCCATCCGATGAAGATCAGTAATATCAAAGAGAGGCCGAATATCAATAGGAGTCTCATCAGATAGGTCAACATTGAAATATTTGAAAATTTTTATAAAAAGACCACCAAAGGGAATGAAAGTGGAGGGACTAGAAGCAATGATATCAAACATAACATGTCCCTATTTAACATCAACATTTCCCAGAATGACCTAGATACCCCTAGTGAGATCTTGTGAATAGTGACTATATCTCCCAGATTTTGGAATCAAATTATAAGAAATGATATGTCCAATAATGGTAGCCAAGTCAGATATATTTTTAGCATCTAATGGAAGGCTTTCGCCAGGAAGAGTCATAAGGGCTTCAACATCGGGATTATCATATGAAACTGTAATACCCTAACCCTTGAGAGGGTGATGTGATTAGTATTGATAGATTTGATTGGAATACTCATACCACCAAGATGCATCTTCTTTTCGGGAACCTAACTCCTAGAAACTCTAAAGTTAAGCGTGCTTGGCCTGGAGAAATTCAAGGATGAGTGACCATCTGGGAAGTTTTCCAGGGAGCGCGTGAGTGAGGACAAAACGTGCTGAAAAGACATGTGGTGGTTTATGAGGCCAGTCCATCAGATCTAATAGCTTACCGACTCCGGGATTCCGGGGCGGGGCGTTACAGAAACATCATCAAGAAAGGTGTCACCTCGAGGGATCACAATGATCTCAGATAGATGGTCAGCTGTGAAATGAATATTGTGATTTTTGACACTGAAAGTGATAAAGTGGGGTCTATTCTCAGGAGAAAATGGTATAAGATTTGCGTAAAACACACGCACAAGATGGGGGTAAATTTTCAGAGTGCTGATTAGAGACTAAATCAGCGA